CATGAGTACCTTTTTTTAGATATTTCCAATAATCTAAAGGTGAAAATAGTGTCTACACCGATGAAGTGGCCGACGTTTGAAGTCCAAATGGAAGAATTACGAAAGCTAGGAGAAGTTTTTTTTTCTTCTATCTCATATCCCGCGCACTTTTAATTTTAAAGCCGACACACTTGCGAATGGTGTTTATTTAGCTAGTTCTAAATTTTTTTATGTAAATTCGTCACCACCACATTGGATAATCGAGTCGTGGTAACACAGCGGGCTCTAAACCGTTTTTAGTGTGTATTTGCACATGACATTTTTTTAGGTGAAATTTAGGTAAAAAAATTTCTTAAAAAAAGCCAATTTTTTTTTATGTGATTAGGGCCTAAAATTTATTTTTTGTTTTGGACCCTTCCAAATTTTAGACCGGATCTAAGTGGTAACTTACTATATTATCCTCAAAAAAAAAAACAATAGCCTTTGAAATAATTAAATGTTACTAGACGACAAAAAAAAGGGTTGAAACTATTGATTTAAAACGACTAGTGGATCTAAAACCGGGGATACGACATAATTTTTGTTTGGTTTTAAGGACATTGTTTATACAAAACAATCAAAATTTATAATATTTAATAACTAGTTATATTTCATATGGGTATAAATCGTATAGCGGAAATCATTTGATAGTATTACAAGATTGATTGAATCATAATTTCTCTGTTTTTTAGAAATTAGTCTGAAATTTTCTCATAACAAAAAAATATGCCATGGACCATTTTAAGTGTACTGCATAAGAGAGGAGCAAGTGGGCTAGTGGTGGCTCCACCTCTACTGTCATCTCATCAACCAGGTTTAAAAAACCTGGGTAATTCTTTTTTTTTGTTGGCATCTAAGAAAGATTATATTAACACTGGGTAACCAAATTACAACAAGAAACACACCTAAAAGGAATAGGGTCTCAGCATCACTAGATGAAACCATAAGTTGAAACGATCAACCTACCATCACTATACACACCAAAAAATACAAAAAAACTAACCAAAGAGGATCAAACACTCTCATTCTCAAAAAGATCCTTAAGCCACAAAGGATCTTTTTGAGTAATACAAAGAAACATGGGTAATTCTATCCGAGAGAATTAAAAAAGTTTGTT